CTTTTTCTCTTTTTAGTTTCTTTTGGTGGGGGAGTAGGGTTTTCGAAAAGCCAGAGGGTATTGAGGGGACCGCAAGTTAATGTTAGCGGCAAATTCGTGTATATTGAACTTAGAAGCAATATATTGCTTTCCATGTAAACTTTCCCAAAAAAGTATAATTTTAACTTCAAAAAGAGAAAAAAACAGGGGCCAGCATCTGCATATAATAATCTCAACTCCAAGACCTCATCATTAATATCTCCTTAAACTTCCCCATTACACAGCTAAATAACTCATCAAAAGAATAATTAATAAAATTAAAAGGTGAGAAGCACTCAATTCCAAGAGGGAACCAAATCAAAATTGAAGAATGAGAAGAAAGAATAAGAAGTATCTCAGTCAAAGTAGTCAAACTTTTACAGCCCAAGAAAACAAAATCTAGGGCCTTCATAGAATAAAGAGCTATATAATTAAAAATAATTAAAGAAAAAAAACTAAAGATATCTCCCTAATTATCATTTTATGTGCAGACCCCCCTTTTTGATTCTTGAAAGGTCTGCAGACTAAATCTTTATGAATAGGAAAGTGTAATGTTTTAAGGCCAACTCATTAACTTCTCATGTTTGCTTTTTCTTTTCATTTTAGACTTAGGAATTCCCTTTTCCCTTTCCACTTTTTCAATTCCAGCATTTCTCTGCTTCCATTAAATAATGAATATGGCAGATTCTCCAATCATCTCCTCCACTCTGTAGCAAACACACATAATTGCCCCCAACAACCAATCCTTTTCACTATATAGACTCCTATGTCATAACCCCTTAAGCTACTCACTTCCTTATTTCACCTTCTTGAATTCACTTCCACTACATATAACCATCAATATTCTGTCACCTTTTCTTCTCTTCTAACTTACCATCTTCTTCTTTTTCAATCTTTATGATGAATCATTCTTCCTCTACAACTTCTGTTAATGGCTTCTACAACTTCCTCACTAGAGGCCTTGACAATCTTGATCACTTATTCCTGTCTCAGAACTTCATGTCTTTTCATTTTCTTCAACATGTTTTGTCATCTCTAAGATCTTTTCATTCCCAGTTAACATTTCTGGTTCAAAAACTACATTTGCCTGTTGGAGAGAAATGGCTTGATGAGTATATGGATGAAAGTTCAAGACTTTGGGAAGCTTGCCATGTTCTCAAATCAGCAATCTCCAGCATGGAAAATTATTACACCTCTGGTGCTAATTTAGCTTCTTCTCTTGATGATCACAACATTTTAAATCCTCTGCTCTCCCGCCAGGTTGTTTTAACTTTCTTCGCATAATCAAACCATGTATCCATATCGAATTATTTTTCATTTTTATGCGTAAAGTTGTAATTTTTTTTCTTGATCATACAGGTTATTCGCGCGATAAATAGATGTCAAAGAGAAACAGTAGCACTTGAAGAAGAAAACAAGAGCTTAATGGAAACAAGAATGCAAGATTTATCATTGAGGTTCGACGAAAATATTATGATAGGATCAAAATTCAATGGATTCAGCGGATTTAGAGGAGTGCTTTATGCAATGAAGAATGTCAGCTCATTGCTATTGGCCATTTTGGTAAGTGGACTGGTATATTGTTGGCCACAAACAAGTTTTTACCAAGGGAATGGTCATGAAGGGAACATGGTTTTCGGTTCATCTTTTATGGTTTCAACTTCAAGATTGCATCAGAGAGTAGTAGCAGAGGTGAATCAGGCAGAAGGGCAGCTGCCCGGAATCCTACTTTTCGAGTATCGAAGAGCAAGAGTAGCTATGGCTGAGCTGAAAGTGGAACTAGAGAGAGCCAAGGAGTGTGGATTAGTATTAACACAAATTGATATCCATGACAAGATTGAAAACTTGAAAGATTGCTTTGGAATGTTGAAATGTGGGGCAGAAAGCATCATTGGGCAACTTGATGACTTCTTTGATGAAATAGTAGAAGGAAGAAAGAAACTTTTGGACATGTGCACTCATAGGTAAAGACAACAAAGAAAGAACAAATGGAGAAAGATGTGTGCAGCCATAGCCTTAGAGATTGTAGAAGTGTAAGGAATAACTTAGTGGAGTAGTTTCTTTTCTTTTTTTTAATATTTAGGCTCTACTTTTTTTTTCCATCCATATCTCTCTCTATTTTGGTTCTTTTTTGGTATCCTAAAATTACAATTTTCTTATCCTGCAGCTAAGTTTAGTCTTGAAAACTTTAGGAAGAAGTTTCCTCTGTTAAGTAAAGCATGAATATTATCCTCAAGGAAAAAAACCAGAATGTGATTCTTCCTTTGAATAAAAGTAACATTACTAAACAAGAAGAATATGTTGGATAAAGATAGCTTCAGTAAAAAAGAAAAAGAATTCTAAAAAATATTTCCACTCAAGGAGTAGATTCTCCTCCTTATCATCAATAACTGGATCAAAGATAAGAAATGTCTGTTCTTGTTCTACTGACAAGGCCAGCAGTCAGTCACCTCAGTGGAATAAACTGGAAGATTGATATGAATCACAATTGCCATATGCTACTTTTATTGTATATGCTCTTTATTCTATCAACATATTTAATCACTTGTAGACATATAATGTTTGTTTATTCAACTGTCAATTCATACCACACAAAGAATCATCCAAACGTACAAGATCGTGACCATCTATCATACTGTCTTATGTTTAACTAGCAATTTTATTACGTATATGGTTACACCAAACTCGGGTTAGGGCATTCTAGCATTCCGTCAATCATTTTACTGTTAGATCAAAAAAAAATAAAAAAGGATCCTTCCGGGTGTCGGTTTAGTGGTAAGAGAGCAGCATATTAGACACACGTTAGGATCCTTCCGGGTGTCGGTTTAGTGGTAAGAGGGCAGCATATTAGACACACGTTTAATATTTAAGTGGAGAAAGGTAGAAGAACAAACCCATTATATACTGACTCTTTAAACGTGTGTAACTAATGCAAAAAAGACCTCCCTCTCCCGCATCATCAATTTAGAATGAAGATTGTGATTACAACTCAACTACTTAAAGACCATCTACTCCCCAACCAAACCAAGATGAAAACTATGATTATCCCAACTAACATAATAAATTACTTCTTCAAGGTCACGTCTTGATGTGTTGAGGAAACATAGGAGCTGAAAGAATAATTTAATACTATGTTAGTAGGTATTGTCTTAGGAGAATGAAGTTATAATAGACAACTTAGCTAGGTTTAGGGTTTCTTAAATTGGAAGATGCTTCTTCTGTCAAATGGAAAAGAATGTGATTCCACCTAAATAAAGTAAATAAAGGAATGATGCTCCCTGCCCACATGACAACTATTTTTAAGATAATGACAGCTGCTTAGTAATGTTAACAGAGATTAGATAGGTCTTTTTTACTTTGTTGGTCGGTCATAATCGCAGCCAACAATCCTCTTTTCTTGCAATTAAGCTTGTCTAATTCACATTAACTAGATGTGTTAGAACCTTGATTAAAGATGTTAAACATGCTAAATCTTTGGTTTATTAACAGCCTAAAAGTTGATGGGGAAAGAAGTTCTTTATAGCTTTTTCTGATACGACCCCATATTTGAATTTCCTTTCTTCTGAGCAATTCAACGATTTTCTTTAAGAGGAGACAGCTAACATGACTCGCATCAATTCAAACAGGAAAGAAACAGAAACAGTTCGCAAAAGGTACTGGAAAAAAGATTGCTAATTCTAAACTTAAAACCATCAATGGCCTTCGGCTAAGGAAAGACAGTTTAGGTCAGAGAAAGATAGGGAAGCAGAGATATAGAAAGTAACCAAAGGGTGATAATTATATTATTGAAATTTCAGTAATAATACAAAAAAGAACTCTCAATTCACAACACTTTCTAAAGTGTAGACTTGACTCATACTAGAAAAATGGGAGATAAAAAAAAACGTGAGATGCTTTAGTTTTTTAAAGTAATCAAGGGAGACTTTGAGCTAATACCAGATTTTTTAATCCAATATACCCTGAAATTACTAATCATTCAAGTTGTGAAAAAGTGATGGAGAAGTGGGCGGAGACAGAGGGAAAGAGGAAGAGAAGGATCATGAGATTCCTGGGCTAGCATTCATTTTTCTCAAAACACAAAAGCAGTTTTTTTTCCTTTAACTGTAGGAGCTTTTGTCTGATTCCCAGAAAAGGGATTCTTTTTTTTCTGTTATCAAGGAATTAAATGAAAGCAAATATGAAAAGAGTACTATAGCATGTGTAGTAATTGATTGTAGTTATAATGTTATTGTTGGTCGAATAAATGATGATGAAAAGAAAAGAGGCAGCTCTGTTTGGTAGGCAGTGCAGAGTGGCTGCTGTCAACAAAGTCTATACTAGGCGCTGTACTTGGGTATATCTTCTTGTATCTCAGCCTAGCACCAGCTCTCTGACATGTCTCCTGTTTCCCTGTGAAATGCGATTCCTCTCTTTTTCTTCTCTAATTATTATCTTCTTTTTTACCTCTTTACAACTTGCAACTCAGACTTGTTCCTTTCAACTAACCACATCATGATTCTGGTTTGCCAACTTTTCAGTTCTTTTCCCAAATCTCCAGCCCCCAAGCCCCAAGGAAGGGAAAAGAACAACTTTCTTATCGTATGCTGTCTTTCTTTCTGCTTTTGGTCTACCTTATTGGTCAATGTAAAAAAAATTGCTAGACTTCGTGGAGAAGTGGCCGGTTTGAAGTCATGGCAACTAACCTGTGCCAACTCCATCCCTAGCATTAACCATGGTACCTTTAGTAGATCGCAATTGTTTCAAAGGAGAAGGGATTTGTCAATGCATGTCTAATGAGATGAACATCTAGGAAATATTTGTAGTCGTAGCAGCTCTTGGTAGAACATAGAATGTATCAAAGAAGTACTTCACCTGATTACAATAGAGACTGAAACAGATGCTTATCCAAAGCCCTCTAAAAGCAGCTTCCTGTGATGCAATACCACCTGAGTCAACATAGAACATGGAAGCAGAACAATATAAAAAGGGTAAGGAACTGGAAATTTGAGTCATCCTGCCAAAACAACTACTAACAGCCTTGCCAAATAATCCCTTAAATTCTCCTTTGTTTTTCTCTCAAGGTGTAATGTACATTCAACCTTGTAATCTCTTCAGTGAGAAAATTACAGGGTATATACAAGTTGAATATTAAAGATATAATAATATAGGTACAACCAAAAATAACGAGGACCCAAAACAACAGTGTATCAAAACAGCAATAGGAGAATGAGTCGGATCCCTCATGACAACACTATTTAATTTACCAAACCCTCATCAAAAATACTGAAGCTATGGCAAGGTTCAGCTACTTGAGATTTGTCTTGACACCTCCAGCCAACCTTGACAGTCAAAAAGGACACAAAATACTCCAACGTGGCAATCATAAGTTAATCCAGGCTTTGAGCTCAAGGGACACTTAAAAATCATATCAAGCCTAGTCAATTACTAACCAAGAGTTGGGTGCACCATTGTCCTCCCAATCCACTGAAAAGGTTGGTCAACGATCAAAAAAAGAATTCATCCACCAGAACAAGATTTCCAAGCTAGATTATACTTCAAATCCAGGCATTGCAAACAGTGATGCAAAACTTTCAACACGTGTTCTTAACTCAATAACATCTTTGTTGTTCTCAAGGCCTTTCAGAAAAGCCTTTGCAAGCTTTCCATGTTCTCTCTGTACTGAATTTGTAATCTGCGCTGCCTTGAGGAGGAAATCTGTTATCGTCTCAAAATCATTCTCTATACAGCCTCTTGATGTCATAGCAGGGGTACCTGCAGGCAGAGCAAAAGTAATTACACAAACAGATTTTCAACTCCAAAAGGTTGATATATGTGGCTCCACACTAAAACGATACTGAACTTACCTATCCTCACACCTCCAGGAGTAATACTTCCATTATCATCGAAGACCATTACTTTGTTGAGAGTGATGTGACACAACTCGCAAACCTTTTCAAAATTCTTACCTGTAAAATAGAAAAATAAAAATCAGTACCAGTACACTCAAAAACCGGGAGGCAAGTCAGCAACAGCAATTAGAGTCCCATTAAAATAGCAGTACTAATACACTCAAAAACCGGGAGGCAAGTCAACAACAGCGATTAGAGTTCAATTAAAATAGCAGTATCTGGTCCCAGATAATCCCGTTGAAGCAGGCAGCATTTGGTCCCAGAATCAGTAAGCAAGAGAATTGGCACAGGATGATCACATAATTTTAGAAGGGTACAAGCTACTTAAAGGCCCGATTCTACACACATAACGTCACTTAGGTAGCGCTCCAGTACAGGCACCGCACACCACAACGTCCATGAGCAATCTCCTAAAGAGAATAGCACCAAACAAATAACTAGATGACAGCAATATATTAATTATCAAGATATTTTATGGACGGACATATTAATGATTAGGAATAACAAATTAGAATATATTAAAAGAAAATTAGTCACCAATATGAATTTGAGTATTGCTTCCTAGTCAGAAATTCAATATTATTTTTAACTTAATTGACATGATTTTTCTTTTTCATATTAGCCTTTCTTTCATATTAGCCTTTCAGAAAAGCTCGTGCTTTCATTACATTGCTAGTAGACATTAGGTACTTTTCTACCTTTTCGCCTTTGACAATATTGAGTTGAGCTGTGTTACGCTAGGAGTTAACTCTCCTGGAAAACGCACATGACAGGCCAATGAACAATAGCAAACGCTTGTTTTTATATGTAAAATGTTTTTGTTTTTATGATCAGTCAAATATATGCTAAAGCTACTAATATTACGTTACTTTCAAATGGTGATTTTCTGCTATGGTAGGACTTAACTTTCTGGAAAACACACCTCACATGCCATTTAACAATATAGCAGATGCTTTTTTTTGGAAATGGCAACAGTATATTTGCTAAAATTACTTTTTTTTAATACAATGATAAGCTAAAATTACTGTTTAAGTTACTTTTGTACATTAATCTTCATGACCTTATCATATTACTTCCATGCTAACTGCTACTAACTTTACTCTCAAATTTCATGTAGGCATCTTTGTATTCAGTTCAAATGCCCGACGATACAAAGTTCCAGTAGTAAGAGAAGCACAAAAACAAATTTGTGCCTTCTATAAGATCTCCATTTTCTCAACAAGTACACACCTCAGACTGTTCTTTAAATAATCATACTTCCATGTTAACTGCTACTAACTTTACTCTCAAATTTCATGTAGGCATCTTTGTATTCAGTTCAAATGCCCGACGATACAAAGTTCCAGTAGTAAGAGAAGCACAAAAACAAATTTGTGCCTTCTATAAGATCTCCATTTTCTCAACAAGTACACACCTCAGACTGTTCTTTAAATAATCATACTTCCATGTTAACTGCTACTAACTTTACTCTCAAATTTCATGTAGGCATCTTTGTATTCAGTTCAAATGCCCGACGATACAAAGTTCCAGTAGTAAGAGAAGCACAAAAACAAATTTGTGCCTTCTATAAGATCTCCATTTTCTCAACAAGTACACACCTCAGACTGTTCTTTAAATAATCATACTTCCATGTTAACTGCTACTAACTTTACTCTCAAATTTCATGTAGGCATCTTTGTATTCAGTTCAAATGCCCGACGATACAAAGTTCCAGTAGTAAGAGAAGCACAAAAACAAATTTGTGCCTTCTATAAGATCTCCATTTTCTCAACAAGTACACACCTCAGACTGTTCTTTAAATAATCAAGTCAACTCAAACAGAATGGAACCAATATATGACAAGCAGCCAAGTTCTCTCAGGAATCACAGGTAAAAAACTTGGAGGATTTAGAGCATCTCAACAACCTTCTGATAGCAGCAAAGCAGATCACATTTTTAAAGAAATCTAAAAACCAAACCTTATGAGATATGCTGTCAAAGTTGGACAAATGTTGATCCGAAGATCATAGATTATACTATTTTCATTGAAAAAAGAACTACACAATCAATTCGATCAACTCAGTGGCAAAATTGATATAGAAGCCCAGTCAGAAACGGTGCCACAGGAATTGACGGCAAAATCATAGGAATAAAACATAAGCAAGGGAGAAACATGCAGTTCATTGACCTCACTAGGATTAAAAAAGAAGAGATGAATGATATCCCAGCGCTTATGGCCAAAAATGCCAAATGCCTTACAAAAACTAGACTGGTTTTTCTTCTTCTCAAGAAGTATCTTAGTCCACTGTAGCAGAATCATTACAAAGCAACCATCTGATAAAATTATTTGAGGCCTGATGCTTAGTTCATTAATAATATCTTACTCCAATGCCCCTTAATTTTCCAATTCATTCTTATAATTCAACAAGAAATATCCATATGGGAAGAAAGGATAATGATGGTACGCTAGCCACAAAAAACAAACAGATCTCATGAATGAAATTCACCAAACACATGTGGCAAAAGGTATTACACAAAAAGATTTAGAAACCTGTTAACCCAAGATTTCTCAGATCCCACAGTATCATGTGATTGTCAGTCCCTCCAGTAACCAGTCTGCAATTTCTTCTCAATAAAGCAGCTGCTAATGCCTGAGCGTTTCTCTTAACTTGTTGCATATATGTCTTGTATTCAGGAGTAGCCACTTGCTTCAATGCTATAGCGAGGGCAGCAATATGGTTGTTGTGCGGCCCTCCTTGCAATGCAGGAAAAACAGCAAAGTTTATCTTCTCCTCAAAATCATACTTATCACCATCACCTTGATTCAAAAGCAGCCCTCTCTTTCTTGGCTTTGACCCTTTCCTATAAAAGATAATACCTCCCCTTGGACCTCGAAGACTTTTGTGAGTTGTTGAAGTAACTATATCACAATAATCAAAAGGACTCGCACATTCCTGGGGAAAAAAACCATGCCACAAATTAGCAAGCTTGTTGATTACAAATGCAATAAATGGAAAAACTGCAAATCAACTCTGACAAGATTAGATGGGAAATAATTCATATAGCAGATTTATTTTGAGCAGAAATTGTAGGCAGACGCCTAAGGCATTAGCTGAAGCCAAAAACATTTACTCATGAAGAAAGGCTGACTTGGAGTGACTGGTCCAACATATTCTCTAGGGTCTACAGTACTCCCCTTAGACATCCTATCTTCCCATTTAAAAAAGCATAAAAACTTTTACTTCCCCTATATTATTGATTTGCAGTCAAATCGCCTGTTAATCCATTCAGCAAATAACAAATTGAGATTATAACTATGACAAGAATCCAAGAGAAACCGATATAATTTCCACATTACGCAAGAGATGCTCGGGAAGGTGTCATCTATAAGGGCAACTTGCTTCAGTAGGCTGGCTGTTTTTTTCTTAGAAGAGGTATTCAAGAATCAGTAAGCTTATATAATTAACTTCTCAGTATTTAACCTAATTAAAATAGTTTGAAACCAAGGGCATATACATGGAATGGAACTGCACCAAAGCATCATTTATTGGGTCGAACCTTGTTGCTTTCAAACAAAACATCAACAATGAGCACTAAAATGGTTAAGAAGTAAATTAAATTGATGCATGAATGACATGAATGAGCATAGGATCGTGCCCGGTGAGCATTAATCAAAATAACTAAACAGCCTCAAAGAAAAGATCACCTTTGCAGCAATGAGACCACTAATTTGTGCCATATCACACAACAAAACTGCACCACATTTGTCGGCAATCTGTCTAAACTTTGCATAATCCCATTCCCGGGGATACGAACTCCCCCCACATATAAGTATCTTAGGACGGAAATCAAGAGCCCTTTCCTCAAGTTTATCAAAATCTACATATCCAGTTTGGGGATCAACCTTATAAGACAGGCTCTCAAAGAAAATTGAAGCCCCTGAAACTTTTCTTCCATTAGGAAGATAATACCCATGACTTGTGTTTCCACCAGACGGTGTATCCAATCCCATTATCCGATCACCAGGCAGTAGCAAACCAGTATAAACCGCAAAGTTTGCTGAAGTACATGAATATGGTTGCACATTCACACCCCAATTCTCCGGGTCAAGTCCAAAAGCAGCTAATGCACGCTTACAACATAGAGTTTCAATCTCATCTATAAACTGATTACCACCATAGTACCTTGCCCCCGGTGCTCCTTCAGAATACTTGTTTGTTAAATGGCTCCCTAATGCCTCCATCACAGCCTTGCATACAAAATTCTCAGAGGCAATCAGTTCAATCCCTTTGTACTGTCTCTGCTTCTCCTTCTCCATTATCTCAAATATATCCGGGTCAGCTACCTGTAAACCCTGATTACCCCAAGCCCTAACAGCGTTTTTCCGCGATTCTAGCCCTAGCATATGCTCATTGGAACTCGTAACCCTAAAGCACTTTGAAGAGGAAGAAGACGACGTGCTATCAATATCTCTCCTCCGCTTTATACACATGGAATGTCCTAGAATACGAAATTCTTCAACTTCCCTCTCTTCATCACCACTCTCTCCCCCCTTCTTTTCGTTCTCCTCCGTTTGCTTGTCCATCAATTGAAGTGGAACCGGCGGAACCAGATGTGATTGGTCCTTAACCCTAGAATCGATCTGAAAAGTGATCGAGTCGTCGGCGATATGAGCCCGACTAGGTGCGCTTCCCGCCGGGGACGCATGAGCAATAAACCCTAGCGAGAGATTACTCGATTGCGATTGGCTCAAATCCATTGTAACTGAAAAAACAATCACACAATTCTCAGAATTGAAACAATAAAAACCCTAACCGTCCGGAAAGTTTTGATTTTGGGAGATTTCAAGGACAAGAACAACAGTAACAAGAGCAGAAACAACGACCACAGCGGCGGAAACAGTCGGAGTAACAGTGCCGGTAGAAACGCATCGTCCAGATGAAAACACTAGAAGGTAAAACCAAAACTGTAGTTAAAGACGTTTGTTTCTCTGTAAATGATATGTAGAGAGGGAGAAACGAGAAATGCGTGGGTTTTTTGACAAAGACAGGGAAGATTCGAGGGGATGCACCTGGACGATTTTGCTCCTCTGATTCCGGTGACCCGGCTGTGACTTTAACCAAACCTTCAACAGAGCTCCCGATTTGTACTAATTGGCTACGAATCAGGACATTCGACAACAGCTGGATCATAAATGTGCCTGCCATGGTTGGGCCTAACTTTATATTTTATATTATATGGGGCCTAATTGTAAGCCTCAAAAATTGAGCAGTAACAACGTCTTGGGTTTACTTCCTTCATTTAACACTTGGGCTAACTTTAACTTCCAGCCGATTCAATGTTAGGGAACCTATGGATTACGTCGATTTATAAGCAGCTTATTATAAAATTTGGTCAATTCATAAAAGATTATTAATATTAACTAAATAGCTATTTGTAGTTAAGAAAAGGTCAATTTTTTACTTTCTTTTGACTGTGTGTTATTACAATAGAATGGGGACATATTAAGGAACTTAAATCTCAATTTTGGAATGATTTGATGGAATTTTGAGGTGGTTTGAATTAAAATTTTGAAGTATAAGATGAACATGAAAAAAATAATATGTGTATCACACTATATATTATTTGTATAGAATATATATATATATATATACTAGTTTTAGATTGCGCACTTTGTACGTGTACCTCATCTAAATAAATATATAGTTGCAAGAAAAAATTATATAGATATTAATAAATAAAATGTTGGAGTTATAAAATTAAAAACTAAAGCAAAAGTGTTAGTTCTTGAGGATGATGAATGTTGATCCTATTTAGCTGGCTTAATAAAGAAAGAAGTCTTACCCACGAAAGTAATCTAATACCTTGTTGTATTTCAATTACTGAAGTTATCCGTAATTCTTCTTTCTTTTGGATTTAATTAGCGTATACTTGACATAAAGAAATGAATAATAAAGTTGTACTTAATATTATTTTTAGCTCGTCCAATATTAGATAAGTTGAACTTGAGTTCAAGAGCATAATGTTGGTGGATAATGAGGAATTTATATCTAACGCGTATTTTATTACTATATGCAGCTACGTTTTTGTACATAAATTTTTTATAAATACAAGAATACTGAAACATTTAAAAAAAATTATTACTGTTTAATGTTAATTTGCATGTATATAGTCTTAATTCTGGGGGATGAGTAAATTATCATTCTATTGCAATCAGCTCCTCCATTGGTCAAATAGATTTTCGAATGACTAATTGTATTATATAAACTGACCTATAAAAAAATCAGTCTTCAATACAAATTCTTGCCTTAGGAATATTATCAACGTTTGCATGGTTGATAATAGAACATAAACTAAATTCTTGATTGAATAATGTTCTTTTAGGACGTGGATATTGATTCTTAAAGATTAAAAATTGAAAAACTAAAATTTGTAGGCAAAGTCAGGACCAAAGTTTAAAAAAAACAATGAAATCTCATGAATTTGAATAACTACACCATTTTTGGATAAAAAATAATAAACGTGTTGTGAATAGTTTGTACATTGGATGTTACATTAGATGCTACATTGGATGTCCATGTTGTGAATAACTTAAAGATTAAATCTCCTACTTTATGTCCATCACCTTTACTTTTTATGCTTATAAAAGGCCATGTAATTGCAATGGAAAGATACACCAAAGTGAAAGAAGAAAACATTTCTCCCTTCTTTCTATCTCTTCTTATTTATATTTTACTGCATTGCTTTTATTTTATAACACGTTATTAGCACGAAGTTCTAATTTTATTCTTAACTCCCGCTAAGTTGAGCCATATTTTATTAAGAATATGAAAATTTCTCAGTCTTCAATTGGACTCAAGATTAATAAAGATGATATTTGTCTTCTGGATAGTGCTACAACACACACTATTTTAAAAGATAAGAGATATTTCTCTTATTTGGTAATGAAAGAAGCGAATATTAATACAATATCCGGTAGTACAAGATTAATTGAAGGTTCTGGAAGAGCCAATTTATTACTACCAGGAGGAACAAATTTGGCTATTAATGAAGCACTATATTGTAGTAAATCTCAAAGAAACTTATTANAGGAGGAACAAATTTGGCTATTGATGAAGCACTATATTGTAGTAAATCTCAAAGAAACTTATTAAGTTTCAAAGATATTCGCCAAAATGGCTATCATATTGAGACTACAAATGATGAAAAGATTGAATATCTTTATATTACTACATAATGTCTGAAAAGAAATATGTGCTTGAAATGTTACTTGCTCTTTCCTTCGGCTTATACTACACAAGTATTAGCAAGATTGAAACACATGCCGTAGTAAACGAGAAGTTTACTAATCAAGATAATTTTATTATTTGGCATGACCGGTTGGGCCATCCTGGTTCTAATATGATGCGTAAAATAATTGAGAATTCACATGGACATGCAATGAAGAATCAGAAGATTCTTCAATTTAAGGAATTCTCTTGTGCTGCATGTTCTCAAGGAAAATTAATTATTAGACCATCAACTATTAAAGTTAGAATGGAATCTCCTACATTTCTGGAACGTATATAGGGTGATATATGTGGGCCCATTCACCCTCCATGTGGACCATTCAAATATTATATGGTTTTGGTAGATGCATCTACAAGATGGTCACATGTGTGCTTACTATCAACTCGCAATATGGCATTTGCGAGATTGTTGGCTCAAATAATAAAGCTAAGAGCACAATTTCCAGATTATGCAATTAAGATAATTCGTCTTGATAATGCTGGTGAGTTTACATCCCAAGCCTTTAATGATTATTGTATTTCAACTGGGATAACAATTGAGCATCCGGTTGCTCATGTTCATACACAAAATGGTCTAGCAGAATCATTGATCAAACGCCTCCAATTAATTGCTAGACCAATGCTTATGAGAACAAAACTTCCCATTTCAGTATGGGGTCATGCTATTTTGCACGCAGCAACACTTGTGCGGATAAGGCCCACAAGTTATCATAAAGTCTCTCCATTGCAATTGGCTTTTGGTCAGGAGCCAAATGTTTCCCATCTTAGGATCTTTAGTTGTGCGATATATGTTTCAATTGCTCCACCACAACGCACAAAGATGGGTCCTCAAAGAAGGTTGGGGATATATGTTGGATATGAATCTCTTTATATTATAAAATATCTAGAGCCGATGACTGGAGATTTATTTACGGCAAGATTTTTTTGATTGCTATTTTGATGAATCAGTATATCCAACATTAGGGGGAGAAAATAAGCAGCTGAAAAAGAAGATAGATTGGAATGCATTATCACTGTCTCATTTAGATCCTCGAACAAATCAATGTGAACAAGAGGTTCAAAAGATTATTCATTTACAAAATATTGCAAATCAATTGCCAGATGCATTCACTAACCTACCAAGGGTGACTAAGTCACATATTCCAGCTGCTAATGCTCCAATTCGAGTTGATATCCCGACAGAACAATTAATTAAAGCAAATGAGTCTAAGCCATGCTTGAAACGTGGTAGACCAATCGGTTCTAAAGATAAAAATCCTCGAAGAAGAAAAGGAGCAAGTGATCAAAGTGAACATAACACAGAGGTAGTGGCTCAAGAAGAGCCCCAAGACGTAACAAATGATAAGACCTTAGGGGAGGTCCAGGTACCTAAAAATAATGAAAATGAAGAGATATCAATAAGTTACGTCTCAACCGGGAAAAGATGGAACCGAAATAATATTGTTATCGATAACATTTTTGCTTATAATGTTGCTGTTGAAATAATGCAACAAGATAAGGATCTTGAACCAAAATCTGTCAATGAATGTAGACAGAGAAATGATTGGCCAAAAATGGAGAGACGCTATCCAGGTAGAGTTAACTTCACTTGGAAACGTGAAGTCTTCGGACCCATAGTTCGAACACCTGAAGGCATAAAGCCAGTAGGGTATAAATGGGTTTTTGTGCGAAAATGAAATGATAAAAATGAAGTCATTAGATATAAAGCGCAACTTATGGCACAAGGGTTTTCCCAAAGGCCTGGAATTGATTATATGGAGACATATTCTCCTGTAGTGGATGCTATCACCTTCAGGTATCTCATAAATATGGCAATGCAAGAAAAATTTGATATGCATCTAATGGATATTGTTACAGCCTATTTGTATGGATCATTAGACAAAGAAATTTTTATGAAAGTATCTGAGAGATTTAAAGTGCCAGAAGCATATAAAAGTTTTCGAGAAACTTGTTCAATAAAGCTTCAGAAATCTTTATACGGATTGAAACAATCAGGTCGTATGTGGTACAATCGCCTGAGTGAATACCTGTTGAAAGAAGGGTACAAGAATGATCCAATTTGTCCTTGTGTCTTTATAAAAAGGTCTAGATCTGAATTTGTTATAATCGCCGTATATGTTGATGATTTAAATATCATTGGAACTCCTGGGGAGCTTCCAAAAGCAATAGACTGTTTGAAGAAAAAATTTGAAATGAAAGATCTTGGAAAGACAAAATTTTGTCTTGGTCTACAAATTGAGTATATGAAAGATGGAATATTTGTCCATAAATTAACATACACCGAAAAGATTTTAAAGCGATTCTATATGGATAAAGCACATCCATTGAGTACCCCGATGGTTGTGAGATCACTTGATATAAAGAAAGATCCATTCCGACCTCATGAAAATGATGAAGAGCTTCTTGGTGCCGAAGTACCATATCTTAGTGCAATTGGGGCATTAATGTATCTTGCCAATAATTCCCGACCAGATATAGCTTTCTCAGTAAGCTTATTGGCAAGATTTAGTTCTTCGCCAACACAAAGATACTGGAATGGTATTGAACATATATTCAGATACCTCCAAGGGACCATTGATATGGGTTTATTTTATTCAAATGAATCCAAGCCATCATTGATTGGTTATGCAGATGCAGAATATTTGTCTGATCCACACAAAGGTCGATCTCAGATAGGCTATTTATTTACAAGTGGAGGTACATCCATATCATGGCGTTCGACAAAACAAACTATGATTGTTACTTCTTCAAATCATGTAGAGATAATAGCCATTCATGAAGCAAGTCGAGAATGCGTTTTTTGAGATCTATAACTTAACACATTCAGCAAACATGTG